ATGACCTCGACTGTTAGGAAGCCATTAATCAACAAATCATCAACAAGATAAAACTTAGTGTCTCTTCTTGTGTCTTTGGATGTGAAGGACAGCGCCTGATTGTTCCCGAGCCGCTATAATCAGAAGAAAAATGCTGCTGGCTTCCTGGGGAGTTAGTGGGGTTTTGTTTTCCTGGTGCCACGTTTTCCTGGTGGGGACATGAAGTCCTGCGGGCTGATATCAGGGGATGTTTTGCTGGCAGCTCACCCGTTGCCAAGGAAATTCAGAGGCAGGAATTTCTTGATTTTATGGATGTGGGAGAGCTTGCCTGGGGCCTCAAACTGAAGGCAAGTGCATGAGTGGCTTTGCTTGGAATAATGTTTTTTAAGCACGAAGACACTTAAAAACCCAGTGTAATATGTGCTTCTGCTAAAGCATTTGAGGGTTATCATATCTCCCATTCTGAAGAGGCGCATAGGGACAAGGGAAGCATGTTTTATCTTGAGCGGGAGAAGATTAATATTCACAATCCATTGGGTTTTGGTGTTGCTGGTCCAGAGCAGTGGCTGCTTCCATGATTCCCTTCATTACAGCTCCAAGCTCAGCTCAATTTTTTCCTGCCGTATATATTTGTCTTTTAACTTTAGCAGAATTAGAACTTAAAATAAATATTGGCTTTTGCAATGTTTCTGCTGCTTATGAGAATGCCTTAGTTAACCTAGCAGATGTGTCTGATAGAAGAGCGAGAGTATCGGGAAAAACTTGATTTGAAGAGCCTTGAAATGTGTTTTTCAAGGCTGTAGTGTGACGCAGTGACATGCACTCATCCCTGATACATTTTTAAAACACTTGAGAGCCAAGCTCTCAGCCGTTGCAGCTTTGTGCAGCTCTTTTTTGGGTTTTCAGTTCATGCTGTCCCTAAATATCTGCTCATCCATGCCAAACTCTAAAGCGGTCTCCTCTGTCCCTACTGGTGGTATCTTTGGATTTCATTCAGCACGCTACAGTGTGGGAGCAAGCCTCAAACCCTGGCTTGCCTGTGCTCACAGCGCAATTCTTGGAGGAGCCAGACTCACCAGGTAACTGATCATCTCTACAACAGAGGGAATGCAGGGAATCTGTCCTTTGTTTCCAGCAAGAATATACTAACGAACACATCACATTTTGTTTTCCAAGTACCTATGTCTCACTTCCCTTATGTAATGAAGTGATTCACAATGAACGATATGTATAATCCACTTTATCTGCTATTATATCGTGCATTGCAAATGAGTTAGCAATTTTTAGGGCAGGGACTGCTGAACAGTTATGCATGTGCCTACACTGTGTAACAGGATGGGGCATGGTTTCTAAGTGTTACCGCAGCAGATATTCATTCTCTACTCCTGTAGAGTAAAGCTGGATCTCAAATCATAATATTTACTAAGAAGAAACAACACTACATCCATACTTCTGTGCGGGAGACTTCTGAAACCAAAACCTCAGCACCACTAGAACAAACACTCCCCGTCTAAGGGCGCTAATAAATCTGCTTTTTTGCATTACTCACATTAAAACCATGACATCTAGTATACCTACTCACTGATGTTTATATCTGATGGCAATGAGGAGAGGGACAATTAAGGTTTCCAATGGTAATTGTAGGGATCTGGTAATTCAGCTAAGTTACAGTTTTGGTAATGTGCTCCGTGACTGATGAAATCCTGCTGTAAATCAGTGAATCGCATATGTCTGTGAGTGCATGCATTAAAACAATAAAGGCTTGAGACAGTATTATTGGGTTGCTCTACGGGATGGTAAACGTAATTACTCCACGGACTGACACGGGAGCTCAAGGAGATCAGCAGTAGGCAGAAAAACTCAATCTTGATCTTGCAAACACTTCTGCCTGTCCTCAACGCTAAAGCTGTGTTTAGCTCTTTTGGTGTTAATGGCACTCCTCAAGGGCTTAGAGATGAGTTGATTTTTAAAAGCTTGCAGGTCTGTGGGCTAATAGCATCCCAGTATTGGACCATGGGAGAAGAAGGAAAAAAAAAGTATCACAAAATGTGCTGTATTAATTCAACAAATGTATTTAAGTTTTAATTATTTATAACATTTCAGAGTATATTAGTAAATGTTCTGTAATGTATTGATAATAGTAATGAAGTCTGAGTAATTCAAGATCTAATTACATCATCTTGCTATTAAGTTGTGCTTAGAAGTAGAAGAGAAAGCACCAATATGAGTTCAAACAACAAAATATGATTCAGCAAAAAAGTGCTGGTTGCATTACATTTCTAAAACTTTCAGGAATATTGAGTAATAAGTATCTCTGCTTGTCTAAATAGATGGGATTATTTAGCTTAGTTGGACAACTTTATGGATTTTACTCACAGTATATGTGGTCAGAGAAGCAGACTGTCCTATAATTTGTATTTAAAAGGTATTCAGAACCTGCCAGAAACCTCCCAAATCTGCTCCCCATCACTTTATTAATGGAAGAGGCATTGCTACCTTTCATGGACCAGGCTGGCCTAGCAGGAATGAGACCTGACATGCGCACGGAGTTGTGGGATTGACTGCTGTAAAGGCTAGCGCCAGCACCAGCTGTGGTTTGGTAGGGACACTGCTGGTGGGTCCAAAGGGCTTGTGCTGGCTGGCCTGGACCATGAGTGCCATGAGGAAAAGGTCTCTGTCACAACAAGCCGAGACCAGATTCCCGAGGAGACATCCACCGAAGTATCAGGGTGGTAAAAAGGGCTGTCATTGCTGATGCACAGCTGAGTCTGAGATGGCTTCCTCTGCTTGTCTTGCGTCACCTACTTTGTGGTGCTCTCCTTTACCTCCTCCCTGGTGCTCTCACGGAGAGATCACCAGCATGTACCCCTTATAAACGGATCGATAGACCATAAGGGGTGATCATTAGGAAGATAAGACATCCCTAGCTCATTGGCAATTATTTTATGGTATTTCTGATTAATGGTTCCATTTTAGCCATTTCAGTGCTCAGCAGTCTTCATTTGTTAGTGTTGATTATGGGAGTCCATGCCTTGCCTGAATCTTGAGTTATTTTGGCCAACAAATATGAATTAAAATCAATAGAAATGTCATTAGCATCCCAGTGCCGTGAAAGATAATATGACCATTTCTCATGCATTCAGTTTATTAAAATTTGCTAAAGTGTGAAATATGTATGACAAGTAATGATGTTTTAATCTTTCGCCAAGGTAACAATTGAAAGCTGATTGATTCTATTCAGTAATTATAAAATCAAAATGATGGAAGATTGTAATCAAGAAGGATTCTGTCTCATACTTTGTCACGCCTCCATGCAAGATAAAATTCTCATTTGTAACATCTCTTTTATCTGAAAAGAAATCAAACTCATATTTGCCCCAGTTTAAATCTCATGGCTAGTTAGATAATAAACTTTTTAAAAAATTTTTTTACTCTAATGAGAAGATAAAAGCAGCCTGCACCCACTGACAGGTTATATCCTCATGTGTGCCATGGTACCTTATAAGCTCTTTCTCCATTTCCAGGTATCCTTAAACAGGACAAGGCTGAGAGGATGATCGTGTTGCATTGCTGGGGTGTGAGCAGTTATTTTGGTCTTTGTGAGACAGCTGAACACCAGTCCTTCCTCCTTCCCCTCCAAAAAAAGCAATGCCAAACCATGGCTGCTCAGAGCCTGACGGGCTCCATGAGCGATGCCTGGAGCCAGGCAAAGGGTTCTGCCCTGCCAGAAACATGCCATCCCACCAGCCACTCAGCATCTTGCCTGCTGCTGAGACACCCCAGAGATGCAAGCCCTGTAGGAGCCAGTCAAGAGACTGAACCTCCAAAACTACCTATGAATGTTTTCCTTGAAACACCCAAAAGAGTTGAAACTCTGCTCTCAGTTGGCGTTTCAGTGTAATAGCAAGGTGTAGTAAAAGGAAAGGAACTTGGGAGACCTGGCTTTGTTTCTGGCTCTGCCAATCATTTTCTGCACCGCCATAGGCGACTCCTTTCCCTTCTCCATGCCTCTCTTTGCCCACAGACCCCTTTTCTGAACTGCATAATGGCAGTAGGGATGACTTACTGCATTGCCATGGCTGGCTGGGTCTATACAAGTAAATAAACAATAAAGGCAGAAGGGCATAGCTTTTTAATAAGATTCTGCTTGGGAAGTTCTTGTCATAACTAGAGAGAGAAAAAAATTATGGTATGTTGAGGTTCTCCACTTCTACTCTCTGCTTACCTTTGGTGGAAAAGGGAGTCTCACCAGCTGAGGGGCACAAACAACGGTAGGTGGCGAGGCTCAACTTACTAGTGCAACTAGAGGATTAATTATGAATAGTCTGAAACCCAAGCAGGGGGTCAAAATAAACCCAGTTTATCTCTTCACTCGCTTCAGACAGTAAGAGTAGCCTGTGGACTGGACAGCTACTCAGAGCTGTCCTGGAGCAGAAAGCAGTTTCCTTTCTGGACTGCTTGTTTTTGAGGGACTGGGGAAGCGTTCAGCTATTTGTAAGTGTAGAAGCACGTCTCTGTGAAACACTGACAGTTCGGGGTAGGCTGAGCGCTCTGCAATGAAATCCCAGATGCAGTGCAGTTGGTGGGTGGCCTCAGACAAATTTTAATGGGCTTTGGAATAGGGCCCAAGCATATCCCGAAGAATAGAAGGAAGCTTTGGTTTAGCCAAATATCTAAGCATGTGCTTAATCATTGAAGTTAATGAGAATTAGGCATATACTTGAGTCTTCTGCTGACCTGTACCCTAACTACCAAGTAACAAATACTGACCTGCAGAGACCCTGCATAGAACAGGGATATGCCTTTTATATGCCCAAAGGGGACACACCATCTAAACCAGCAAATTTCTTTGATTTTTCTAGTGACATAGCAAAAGCAGAATTTGGCCCTGTGCTCCTTGGAAGAAGGAAATTTTAAATTAGTATGAGCTGCAGCTGCATCTTCTCACTGCAACATTTTGCATGATGCAGGTTAATGGCTGTCTGCTGGAAAAGAGGACTTCTCTGTTTCAGCTCTTACAGGATTCTTGGCACTCTGATCACTAGAAGGGTTACTTTCTTTAACTATATTGCTGTAGGAATGCATCTTTTAAGTATCCTGCTGCATTATTTTGACGTGACCTTCATATATTTTCAGCTTATAGTTTCTGGAATTCTTTTTCTCCCGATAAGAAGCAATGTTGCTGGGTGTGCTTTTTCTAACAAACCTTGATGGAAGATCAGGGAAAAAAAAGCTAATATATCTGATGGCTTGATAATTTCAGGATCAAAACAGATTTTAAGCGTTTATCTTCTTGCACTTCTTGATGAATCTGTTTGACCAGGCAGCTGGTGTATGAGATCTAGCCGGCAGCACACAGAACACATTAGGAAAACAAAGAGAATGTGAGATTAAACTGAAAAGAGGCAAGAGCAGCATTTCCTCACCGTTCTGCATGAAGGCAGAAGATGCTCTGAAAGGATACAAACTCAGTTTTCTTACTGGACCTATGGCCTCTCTCCCCCATCAGATTATTCAAAGGTAAATTTGCTTTTCACTCTCTCAGACAGACCATTTCCCCCTCACCGGTATACTTATTTATTAGTAACGTTATTTGTAAAATGATAACTTCATTGCCTGCACTGTTATGATGTTATCTCTATGTGCTTCTGTGAGAATGTAACAATGTCATGAAGAAAAATGATGTAAAAATGATGTGGGTACATAAAATGGAATTGACAAAATGTAATAAATCATTGCTGGGCTGAAGAACAGAGCTGCATGTGTAATGAAATACTTCAGCATTACATCATCGTTTATGTAACATCTGGCAGAGCCTTGTGTTTCAGTGTTGCTTTGAATCAGGATCATTTTTTCTTTCTGAGAAAAGAGAAAAACAAGCCATTAGGCTTTACACACAGAAAACTGGAAAAAAAAAAGAGAAAAAAAGAAAACCTTGAAATATCTATTTAAGGTTCCCCTGAGAAGCTCTGCCATCCCTATCCTGATGCAAATAATGTATTGTCTGAGGTGCCTACAAAATAGTTAACATCCAAGTAGGACTTTTTCAGTTTTATAAGACAAACAGGTCTTTAATGTGAAGGAGATTTTTTGAGGTTGCATAGTTACTCTGCCCAAAAAAGAGTTTTTCTAATTTGCATCATTACACATACCCTGGGGCCAGACTTCTAGCAAAAAAAGCAGGTGTAAATTATATGTACTTGAGTGTTTTCCACGGGGGTTTGTTTGTTTTTTTTCTAAAAGGATATCTGAATTATCTTTCTGCTGTTGTGAACTCCCAGTCCTGTCTCACGTAGACATATGGGTGCTCTTTCAGTGTGGACTCCTCCACCCCAGGCTGGCAGCAGAGTCTTCCTTGCCCCTGGGGTGAATCACTGCATGCAGGTTCACCTGGGGTACCAGGCAACATGATGTGCTGCTGGTGTGAATGTTAGTTGGAATGTATTTAATTAGCTGTTGTCGTAAATGAAGTCAGAAATGGAGGTCTCTGCTGAGAAAGTCTCTGGATGATGCCCTGACCTGGTTGAATTCAGCAGAAGTTTTGCTATTAATTTCAAGGGGCTTTTGCCTTGCCCCTCTTGCCTCTGAAGCCCCGCAGGAGGTCCTGGTGTGGTGGCTGTGGTGCTGTTGGTCCTGCTGCAAGGGGTGCAGGCTGCCAGCAGTGGTGTTGCTCTCCTCCAAACTTTTGGTGGATGGCAGCTGCCTGGGATGCAGGAACAGGGCATTGGGAAGAAGTCGGTGTATCCAAAAATAGGCTTTTTGCTTTCTTTTTTTCAAGACTGTCCTGCTCGAGGAGGAAATGGGACAGGTTGCCAAAGAGAAATCGCTGTTTGCTTAGCTCCTTTTCAGTTAATCAAATATCATGCAGATAAGCCTCTGTTACCATAATCTCTCTTCTCCTAGGGATTTTCGTATGGTGTATTTATCCAGCAGTACAGGTCTGGTGGATACATACACAAAGCTAGTTGTTATAGCTATTATACCCCCCCTCCGTATTTTCCCCAGGTAGGTACAGAATGTTAGATCTTGATACACTCTCAAGCGCAGTGCGATACAGGAATTTGGTTTTTCATGGTGGAAAGGGCAAGGGGAAGTGGAGCAGTCCAGGGACAACAGTTACTGCTCTAGAAACCCTGTGCAGTGCAGGCTTCTGGAGTGCTTTCATCCCTTCTGAGCAATTGTTAGAGTTACTGAAAAGTTTGTTTTCTTCATTTATTAATAGAGCAGTGACTTCTATTGATTTTTGTTTGGAGGAGAGAGGTGCTGTAGAGCATGAATGTCATTGCAAGCAGGACACTATAAAATTGGCAAAGGCAAAAGAGGGAGGCAATGGCCATAGGGTTGAAGTGTAAGACTTGGAGTCAGGATGTTTTATTCCTATTTCTGATTTTCCTGCAGGTGAACTTGGGAAAAGCAATCACTAGCAGGGCTGAAAGCTGGCCATGTGCAGGGCCACAATGACTCTTACTAGAAGCAGAGGCAGCAGGCAGACATTTTATGCTGAAAACCACTCTTTCCAGCACCTGAGCTTTTTGGATGAACATATTTTTTCCTTCTTTAAGGGAGTCTCATGGCAATGAGCTGACGTAGGGATTTCAAAGGGGAAGGAGAAACATTTTTACATCTCAGAGGCATGCCCATGACATGTTTGATTGTGGACATTGCAGGAGTGGAAGCAGACTGTTAAATCAGGATGCTACTGGCAGGAGTGGGATAAGGTTTGAGAACAAGTACTGGTAAAGGCCCAGCTTGTCTTGGGGTGAAAATAGAGTTATGATGATGCCATCTCAACCAAATCCCTCTCTTGTGGCGAAAAATGAATTGCTGTGGCTTGAGTGATGGGCCTTTGCAGTGAGGAAGCAGTAGGTGATACCTCTCCACAGGGATTCCTGCAAGACCTCTAGTGAGCTTGTCTGTTCCTTTGCCTTTACAGTTTGTACCTGTGCCGCTCATGCTATGTCACAGCCACAATTTAAACAGGGAAATAGAAGACTAAATTACCTAATGCTAATAAGGTTCTTTCAGTCCCCTGGGAAGGACCACAAAAATATGAGCTGACAATGCAAGAATATCTATAAGCATCAATGAGAACTGGCTCTCAAGGAGAAAAGAAGAGTTCTTATTTGATAAAATGTGGCTGAATGGCAAGTGAGATTTTTTTGATCTTTGTTTGCTTCACTTTCTGCAGTCCTGTCTGTGAGGAAACCTGGGTCCTCTCCTGGCCTGGGATGCTGTAGTCATACAGCAGTTAGGAATGTCCTGGTTTTAACCAGCAAAGTCCGAGGAAAGACATGCAGCTTGCTTTCTCTTCCATGCATAAACCCATACCTCCAGTGGTTCAGTAGCCAGGAACACTGGCCCTTAGCTTCACCCCTACCCTCATGGCATCAGAGCCCTGGTATTAGAGCTTGCCTCCTTGTCAAAGACTGAGCTGTACTTCAGTAAAAAAGAATGAAAAGACCCTCTCTTTTGCTGTTCTTTATTTTGCCCATGTCAAGGGCATGAGTGGGTGAGAAGCTGTTGCTCTTTTCTGTTTTCTCAGAATAATTTCCCTGGCCTTCATTAAAAAGCAGAGTGGGATCAGCCTCTTCCAAATGGATTGCCATACCCACTTTTATTTTGTCTTGGTGAAAGAGGTGATGCTGATCTACCTGATCTAACTTAAATGCCTGAACAATACGTGGGCACTAGTCTCTAATGGCCACAGACCATGTCTGATTCAGTGTATGGCAAGGCTCTCAGGCAGTTCCAACACTGTGCCGAGCTGGAAAGAGCATTTTACTCTATAACAGGTCGGTGACGTGCTACAGATTTCGTCAAGTACTAGGGCAGGTGCTGATACGTACCACTGGGACAAGAAATGAGTACGCCCGCTCTGCCAAAAGGATGGTAGCATCTCTGGAGAAGTGAGAGCGGTCACTGCTGGGGAGGGAGGGCTGGAAGGGGCCATGGAGCAGGGGTGCCTGGGTGGGCAGAGGCGCCGGAGCCGGCTCGCTCTTGCCGCTGGCCCAGGGACGAGTCTCTGTGCCCCACAGTCACCAAGGTCCTGTGGCTTTGCAGCAAGGGCAAGATGCCTTTGTGATTTCACTCCGCGTGGGAAGAGGTAAAGCGTGGGTTTTTCCACTTCTGTCAGCCTCTGTCTGTAATGAGCTTTGCAGCTGTGCCACCTCTTAGGATCTACCTTACTCAACATTTGCTTCCATGGTGACTTGGCTCAAATTAAGGACAGGTTGAGGCTGGGATCCAGGCACTTCCAGGCTGGAAACCCTTAAAATGGATCCCTCTCCCCAAAGCCAGTGGCCAGTATGTGGCTTGAGGTCCACCTCACCTGCACCAGCACCTACGCTGAGCATGGGCAGCTGTCACCATCACTGCCACCACCATCCATGGGCAGCTGTCACCATCACTGCCACCACCATCCACCCGGACAAAGGGCTGCAAGTGACCGGCGTGGCCACACCAGCCTGCGGGCAGAGGGACAGTAACCAACCAGCCTTTGGCCATCGCTCAGCAATCAAAGCCTTGAATAATCTTAATGAGTTAATTCAGCACCTAGCAAATGTTTCCCTGCTGGCGTAACAGATGAAGGAGCAGTAATGGTTACAGGGAAAGAATTTTTTATGGGGATGCATAACAGTGTCGTTTCAGATTTGTTTCTTTCTACTTCTTGACAGCTGTTTAGCATTACACAGACGTACGTATCGATAATTTTTGCCATCATTTCTACAACATGAAGCTGCACTTATTTCCCAGATCTTCTATTTAATTCAGCCAAGCAATATTCAATTACCTATTTAAGCAGGAGGCTGGGGACAAACAAGGCTGGACTGGAAGAAGAATCGATGGGTAAAATCACAGCTGTCTGTGGAAAAGTGCCTCCAGCAGGCTCTGCTCCCTGCCTCTCTTCCTCCCGATTTTGGGGAGCTACAGGGACAAGGGAAAGGAGGAAGGAGGCAAATCCTTCATCTCCTACCCTGGCCTCTGCCCAGGTTCCCTGTTCTCACTAGGCTGATGTTGTTTGGCAGGACCCTTCTGGCAGGAGAAATATTAAAGTGCTTAGCTATCATTGTCAGTTGGTAGGCTGAAGTTTGCTACCAGCTCACCATGACAGTCTGTGCAAAATATTCGAAAAACTTCTGCTGCCTGATGCTGTTCCTGCCTTGTTTCTTCTCTGTGCTGGTTATTCACAGAGACCCTTCCTAAAGCTATTCTCCTGTTCCTGATTGCTCTTCCTTTGTGTTTTATTTGATTTGAGCTGGTGATGTTTGGCTGACACATCCCAAGTTATTTTTGACTTATTGCCGATGAGGTCAGAATCAGAACCATTTTTGAAAACAATAAGTTTGGGAGATATAGTTTGGGTATTTTTTCCCTTTGTTCTCTGCTATTTGATGGTTTGCTTCCAATGTTCCTTCCCGCTGACTTCCAATAGAGGTTTCTTGCTTTATAAACAACTGGATTGATTTCCAATATGGACTTTTGCTTCCTTGAAAAAAGATCTCAGGGGAAATTGGCAGTTC